ACACCTGGAGGTGCCCATGGGGTCTACAGAGATTACAGCACCCCAAGTCTGCATGGTACACACCTAGAGGTACCCATGGGGTCTACAGAGAGTATAGCACCCCAAGTCTGCACGGTACACACCTGGAGGTGTCCATAGGGCCTGCATGAGTACCCCCTATGAGCACCCCAAGTCTGTAAGGTATACCCCTGAAGGTGCCTACGGGGCCTGTATTGAGTACAGTACCCCAAGTCTGCATGGTACACCTCTGGAGGTGTCCATGTGGCCTGCACTGAGTATCCCTGGGGCCACCCCAAGTCTATATAATATACCCTTGCACATGCCCATGGAGCCTGTACAAGAGTACAGCACCCCAAGTCTGCATGGTACATCCCTGGAGACACTCACAGGGCCTGCACTGAGTACCCCGGGGGGCACCCCAGGTCTACACAGGGCACCTCCTGGAGGTGCTCGCAGGGAGAAGACTTGCACTGAGTCCTCCCTGTGGGCACCCCAAATTTACACAAAACACCCCTTTGGGGAGCTCACAGAGCAGCACTGGTCCCTGCGTGTGTTCACAGGGTTGGAATCACACCCAGGGCCCACTCCACCTCCTCTCACCCAACACCAGGGTCACAGTGCCCCTCAGCTCAGGCCCCCCCCGGGGCACTGTCACCTCTGTGTGACTGACCCTGTGCAGAGTCCATGGTCATATTGCTGAAGTGGGGGTGCATGTCACAACAGGTGGAAAGGGAGTCATAAAAATCACCCCCATCCAGTCGGAAGTGACTCACAGCCGACCCTCCATTGAGTTTGCAAAGCTGTAAATCTCCCGGGAGGAGATTGCCCCTCCTTCTCCCACAGAGCTGCTCGTGGATTTGAACCACCAGAGAGGGGCACCCTTTGAGTTAGCGGCAAGGCAGAGGGAAGAGAGGTGGAAAGAAAGAAGCAGGTGCTGTTGTGGAGGTCCCAGCCAGGACAGGAAGGGTCAAAGGAACCCTGCCTGCGGGGAGGGCAGTGGGTGGGACACGGCCTCCAGGGAGCCACTCAGGATTGCACCTGTTTAGCTCTTTTTTGCAGCTTCCTCAGCTGTGCACTGGGTTTGCTCATCACCACATCACACTGCACCGTGATGGCCATGATCTCCTCACCCTCTGGGCATCCAGGAAAGTTGGGGAGCAGGGCATGCCTTGTTCTGGAGCACCATGGATTTTTGTTGAAAATGGGAATGAATGAATCAAGTTGTATGCAGCGCCCGTCACTGAAGACAGTGTGAGCACTGAAAGAGAAGGGGTGCTGTTTCCTCGCTTTGGGGGTCCCCCGATAGCCCTGTGACCCGGGGACAGCTCTCACCTGGAATGGTGTTGTCCAGGATGAAGCCCAGGAACCCGCCGACAAACATGCCCGTGGTCAGCAGCACTTGGATGACCTGGTCCAGCTGGAGAATGCCTGCAGTGGGGACGGAGGGCAGAGGCTCGCGGCCACCAGGGTCTCCTCCCCACCTGGCTGGGCAGGGGCAGGGCGCGTGGTGACCCCTCACCTGTGTGGAGCCTCTGGGGGTTCTTGTTCACCCAGTTGGGAACGGCAAGGCCGCAGTAGATGGAGAAGCCGAACACGAAGAGGTTCCGGGAGGAGTTCATGTCCACGTACTGGCAGAAGGGCCTGGAGTTCAGTGCCCACGCAGGGACTGCCCCATTGCTCCCCTGGGTTCAGTGAGGTCCAACCCCAGCTCCCTCCTGGCCTGGCGGCTCCGACAACACTCAGAGCCGACACAACTTGCAGTTTTCTAAGGTTTGGTGCTTCTGGCCACCTTTCTCCCATGTGGGGGGCCTGTGTGACGTTGGGGGCCCCACTTCCCCTCCCACGCCATCCTCTGCGTCTCCGGACTCCCTCTAAGAGGTGCGGGGTGGCGGCTGCTCCCAGGTCTCACCTGCAGGTTGGAGATGCCCACGGCCGTGATCATGCCAAACATGACGAGAAACATGCCCCCTATGACCGGCGTGGGGATGGTGGCGAACGCAGCCCCGATCTTACCGAACACGCCCATCAGCAGCAGCACGCCGCCCGCAGCCACGATCACCGCCCGGCTCCCCACCTACAGGACAGGGGCGCTCAGCCCGCACCTCTGCCCTGTGCGGGGACCTGGCGTCACCTGGGGAAATTCGAGGGCAGCACCCCATCCCAGGGCGCCCCCTGCACCCTGACAAGGTTTGGGGAAGGAGAGAGGCAGGGACCTCAACGTCGCCTGCAGCGGATGCAGACAGCCACGCATCCCTCTGTGCCCGCAGGACCCGGGCTGGGATTCTCCGGACTCTTAACACAGACACAGAGGAAGAAGGGGGACTCAAGCCCACTCAGTTTGACTCTGAACTTGCTAAACAAGTATTCCTACTTCAGAGTAAAATTAGAGGGAGTATGTGAAGGGCTTAGGGAGCTCTCATGACCTGGTGGTAAGAAGCTGTGCAGCCATCCCAAAGGCACACGGTTCTAATCCACCAGCTGCTTCCCAGGAGGAGGATGGGCACTCCCCTCCCCGTGTCATTTCCTGCCTTTGCAAACCGGCTGGAGGGTCAGCTCTAAGTCAGCTCTGACAAGACGGCAGACAACAACAACAGTGTGAAGTTCTTAGCACAGCAACAACCTCTAAGGTGCTGGTTGGTAAAAGGCATCCAGTCAGAACTCATCACTGACCTTCCAGCCAGCTCTCGGAGGCTGTAACCATGGGAGGACAAACTCATCACTGGCCTTCCAGCCAGCTCTCGGAGGCTGTAATCATAGGAAGACAGGCTCATCGCTGACCCTCCCGCCAGCTCTCGGAGGCTGTAATCATAGGAGGACACTGTCCATCTTTTACTAGCAGAAGCACTGGTGGATTTGAACTGCCTGCCTTTGGGATAGCAGTGCAACTCCTTATCGCTAGGCAAGTCAGCTGGGTCTGGACAGCACCTGGTGATGCTACTGGTTGTCAAGGGTCCACTGCGACTCCAGTGACCTTGTGCTCCAGAGCAGAGCACCCCCTTACGTCCCTCTTCTTCCTTGGGGCCGATGGCTCTGCCAACTTCTAGGTTCGAAGTTGCACCATTTGCACCATCCAGAGGCACAGGTATTGTTTTGCATTATTAACCAATACATACCCTCAATTTAGACAAAGGTGGATTTTTCTCATCAAGGAATCATTTTCTGTCATTTGCAGCCTCCTTGTGATCTCAGGTGCTCATTCAGGGAGCGTTCACTGGTTCTGTCCCCATCTTTAGAGGGGGTTTTCTTTCATTCATTCCCACAGAGGACTGGTTAATTGTGACCATACCAGAATTCATTAAGAAAGTGTAATTAACAGCCATATTGGTCTGCATGAGTTTGATTACAGAAACTAATAAAGTATTCTCTAAATAATGAAAAGAAAAAAAGAAAAAGTGCCAGGTGGTTGGAGAGGAGTAGTTTGTAATTACCAGAACATGTTTTGCAGGGGCAGGGAGAGTGTCTGGTAGTTAGAAATACTATATGATTGGGTATTATTGTCATGACAGGAGTCCAGAACGAAGGCTGCACAGTGGAGTGGACTTAGGGAGAAGGATTACATAACAATGAAAGAGTTTTTCTTTTACTTTTCAAGGGGAAGAGTGAGTTTGGGGGCTGGGTAGGGGGAGGTGGGCAGGGAGAAAAGTGCAACAATGTATGACTGGAAGCCCTAAGTCTCTGTAAACTTTAATTAAAATTAATTTTAAAAAAAAAGAAAGAAAGAAATACTGCAATGCTAAGGGTGTGAGTTTCACCTCCTGGCTACTAGGCCCTCTTGAAATAAAATGTTTCTGCAAGGGTCTCTTAAAGAAAAACCAGCAGGCTGTGTGATGAGGGGAGTGGACTGTGCTGGAAACCTGGGCTGCTCTGGGACCCAGGCCCCGTCGGAAGCACGCAGCCATCAGGCCTGGGCACGGCTGACTGAGGCTTAAACCAAACCAGCCTCCATGAGGCGCTGATGAGAGCACAGCACTCTGCGGAGCTTCCCAGGGCTGACGGCGAAGGGATGGCTAGGCCGTTCTTCCTGCACTGAAGCTTGGTCAAGGGTTACAAGTCCAGCTGGTGACACAAAGGTGATCCCCACCTGCTCTCTGTGCCCTTGACTCTCAGAAGAATCACCGAGGCCCACCGGCTCGCAAGAGGCTACCTACTTCAGCCTGCATGTTGCGAAGAGGTTTCAAAAACTCTGATTTTGGCATGTTTCCCTTTCACGTTTTTTATTCAAACTGTTTTTGTTGTTGTTATATGCTGTCAAGTTGCTTGCGACTCATAGCGACTCCGTGTACAAGAGCCCTAAACCCTGCTCTGTCCTGTGTCAACCTCACTGCCTCTGACACATCCATCCTGATTACCCTAGTCACTGGGTCAATCCATCTCATGGAGGGGCTTTCTCTCCTGCACAGTCCCTCCACCCTCCCAAGCATGATGTCCCTCTCCAAGGACTGGTCCCTCCTCATAACATGTCCAAGGTATGTCAGTTGAAGTTTCAGAATCCTTGCCTCCATGGAGCAGCCTGGTTTCACCGTCTCCAGGACAAACCTGTTGTTCTCCTAGCAGTCCGTGGTATATTCAACACTCTTCTCCATCACCACAGCTTGAAGGCATCAATTCTCTTTCTATCATCCCTAGTCACTGTTCAGCTCTCTGACACACAGCATACAATTGTGAAGACTATGGCCTGGATCAGGTGCACCTTAGTCTCCAGCCTGACATCATTGCTCTTCAGTACTCTGGAGAGGTCCCTGACAGCTGACTTTCCCAATGCAATTTGTCTCTTGATTTCCTGGCTGCTGGTGCCAAGAGTATTGATTGTGGAGCCAAGCAAACTAAAACTAACAATCTCAATCTCTTCGCCATCCATAATGATGCTGCCAATTGGCCCAGTGGTGAGAATCTTTGTTTTCTTAATGTTGAGCTTCAATCCATATTGAAGGCTGCAGTCCTTGACCTTCTGCAGCAAGCGCTTCAGGTCCTCCTCAGTTTCAGCAAGCAGGATTGTGTCATCTGCATAACGCAGGTTGTTGATGAGTTTTCCTTCAATCCTGATGCCACACTTCTCCTCATACAACCCAGTCTCCCAGATGATCTATTCTGCATACAGATTGAAAAGGTATGGAGATAGAATACATCCCTGGAGGACACCTTCCCCGATTTTGAACCATGTAGTGTCTCCTTGTTCTGTTCTGACAATGGCCTCCTGGTTCAAGTATAGGTTTCACATAAGCACAATCAAATGTTCTGGGATTCCCATTCTTCTTAGAGTCAGCCACAGTTTGTTGTGATCCACACAGTCAAATGCCTTTGCCTAGTCAATGAAACACAGATAGACATTCCTCTGGTATTCTTTGCTTTCTGCCACGATCCATCTAACTTTAGCGATAATATTCCTAGTACCATGACCTCTTCTAAACCCAGCCTGCACATCTGGTAGTTCTCTGTTGACATGTTGCTCCAGTTATTTTTGTATAATTTTGAGCAGATTCTTGCTTGCATGTGATATTAATGATATTGTTCAATAATTTCCACACTCTGTCAGGTCACTTTTCTTTGAAATGGGAACAGAAAAATGACACGCCAAAGAAATGATGTCTGTTTACGTAATGTAAACATATGTCTGTTTACGTAATGTTTTCTATTCTTCATGGAATTGTAGTGCATTGAGTAACCCAACTGCCAAAGACTCCTTTTTTTTAAGATGTCCAAGATGTCACTTTAAGAACTAGATTCTCAGTGGCCCAGGGTATTCTCAGCTACATGGTACACATGTAGAGCTGGACCATGAATAAGGCAGACAGGAGAACTTACGCCTTATGCCTCAGTCATGGCCTCGGTGAAGATATGGAATATTCTACATCCTAGTGGCCTAGTAGGAGGGTTCACTGCTAACCACTGCTGGAGGTCCAAATCCACAGAGGCTCCACAGAGGAGAAGCGGGCAATCTCCTCCATGTCATTTACAGCCTCAGAGACCCAGTGGAGGGTCAGCTTTGAGATGATGCTGACCCTTGAACCTATCCTCATGCCCCCTAACCTTACCCAGGTGATGTCTGTCACCCCTCCCTACCCAGGTGACACCCATCCCCCTCCTTACCTGGGTGACACCCATCCCCCTTCTAACCCAGGTGACGCCCACCCCCTCAACCTTACCCAGGTGATGTCTGTCCCCTCTCCTTACCCAGGTGACACCCACCCCCCTTACCCAGGTAACACCCATTCCCCTCCTTACCTGGGTGATGCCCATCCCCTTTCTAACCCAGGTGACATCCACCCCCCCCAACCTTACCAGGTAATGTCTGCCCCCCTCTTTACCCAGGTGACGCCCACCCCCCCATCCAGGTGAGGCCTGTCCCCGTTCTTACCCAGCTGATGTCCATCCCCTCTTCTTACCCGGGTGATGCCCAGTGCCCCGACATTCTCGCTGTAGGAGGTGGTGCCATTGCCTGTCCCCCAGGCTCCAGCCAGCAGACAGCCTATCCCCTCGATGCCGATGCCACGGTTGATGGCATGTTTGGGGGGTGCTGGTGCCCCCACAAGCCGGGCACATGCATGGTAGTCACCCACTGACTCCACCATGGAGGAAATCACTCCCGCGATGATGCCAAAGACCCCGGCCAGGCTGATGGTGGGGACGCCCCACTGTCCTGCATGCAGGGAGAAGAGAGGGGTGTCACTGGGGGCCCAGATGCTGCCGAGGGGGCCTCTGACTGGAAGCCTGGGCTCTTAATTCCTGCCCTGTCCCTCCCAGTGTGAAGACAGATGCCCAGACCAGAGGTCACCACTGAGAAGGACACCAGGATCCGTGTCCTCTGGACAAGCTGGACGCCCAACCAGCTAGGACATCCACCAGGCCATCCACCTGGCCCGGCCTCTCCCTTCACACCAGGCCCAGAACTAAGGGGCTGAGACCCAGAGGCCTGAAGGTGCTCTGGGCCTGGTCTCCCTGGAATGTTCTAGCTCAGTCCGGCTGTCCTGAAGGTCTGGCTGGAGGTCAGGACCTCTCTGTCTCCCTCGCTCCTCCAGGTCTGGGGTGGACTCCCCAGTGTTTGTCTCTCTCACCCCCCACTGTCCTCCTGGCACTGGGTGGTAGCCCAGGGAAGCTCCCACACAGCGGGCCCCTGTCCAGGAGGGCCGCGTCAGCACCTGGGTAGGGGACCCGGAACCACGGGGCCTGGCTCAGCACGTCGCCTTTGGTGTCAGTGCGAGCCCCATGCCCATAGGCTGTGGGGGCCGAAGGGAGAGTGTCGGTCATGGTCAGCACGTAGCAGGTGAGCCAGGAGATACAGAGGGCCAGCAGCACCTGCAGGGGACACGACGTCACCTCCCCTCCACCATCCGCCCCTCGCCTGGCCTCTGCCCTCACCGCCTCCTCCCGGCCGACCACATGAAGGACGTTCTAGGGACAGCGCTTTGATGTGAGGAAGGCTGGGTCACTAAGCCTTGAGGACCACAGGGACCAGCTGTGCCAGGGGACAGGAAGAGAAAATAAGAAACAGACCAAAGGGAGGTGTGCCCAGCAGGGTGGATGTGCAGGGCGAGCATCTCCTGAGCAGGAGGAGGAAGGAAGAAGGTTCTGGAAAAGGTGTCATCTGTGTCACTGGGACTTGACCATGGTCATGAGAAAGAGCTGGATCTGAGCAACCTACCCAAGCCCTTTCTCTCCAGCCTGTAGTTTTAGGCAACAGGTGAGGTAGCTTTCCCCCATCCACTCGATACATGCTACGAGGGCAGCCCAGGGACCCTTGGAAAAGCTGTCACACACGGGGGCCAGTGCTATGACCAAGTGCGGGGTCTCTGCTTCTTCCAGAGCGAGAGCTGGGCAGCTACCCTCCTGGGCAGAGGGTACCATCCACCCAGTGACTGGCCCCCTGCCCCGCCGAGGGGAGGAGCTGCCCTCTCCAGGTGCGCCCAGCAAGCTGGGTGGACGCGAGGTGCTGCTTACAGGGAAGACCTGAAAGAGGTAGAACGTGGAGGTATGACATTTCTGCTTCCGTCCACACACGGGCACCGGCACGGAGACGTTTTTCAAGTACTGAGAAAACAGCACGATGAGGAAGATGGTCCTAAAACAAGAACAGACCCACCTGGCAAGCTATGGACTTGACCAGGAGTGTGGTCCACGGCTCTGGGAGCCCTGTAGCTGGACCCCACCTTCCCTGAAGGGCTGGGCTGTGCCTCGACAGGGGCTGCTGGGAGTCCCTGAGGGTCTGTGGGGAGCGAGGCTGTTGCTTCATGAGGGTCTAAGGCACATAAGCTGGGGACGCTGGACAGATCCTGTCACTAAGGCCAAAGAGACCAGATCATTCTGCAGGTCTGACCATCACCAATCGTCTCTCAAACCTTAGGGGGCAGAGCAAGAACCCAGGTCACCCTGAGGCCCTTCAAAGCTCAGTTGAATGCATAGCCCTTCTTCTTCTTCCATGCAGCCTTCCTGGTGCCCCAGCTGGCTACCATTCTCCTCCCAGAGAAGCTCCCTTCCTGGGGGCCCATCACTACGGGCACCCACATCTTATCTCCTTCCTAGACACCCAGATGCTGAGTGTGGGGGGACATGCTCGGGCACCCTTCCCTGGCACCAAATGTGCTCACTGGAGACCCAGTTGGTAAGGGACCTGGAGGATCCGCATTTTGTGACCACACTAGTTATTCTCAGATCCTACCTGTGTGTAGTGAGAGGATAGAATAACAAGACGACCAGTAAATCCCAAGTCAAGTGTTTTCTAAGATTAAATAAAAGCACGTGCAAACTACAAGAGTCTGAAACTATCCAGGACTTTCCTGATGAATCTGCTGCTTGGCCTTCCACCAGGGAGAGCTCGGAGGGCCTCCCTCCGCGGCGGTACTTACATGGCAGCTATGCCCCAGTGGATCCCAGCATCATCGCCTGCAGAGTCGAAGAGAGGCAGGGCCACCAGGGAGATGGTCGGTGCGATGGTCAAGGGGCCGATAAAGCGCATGAGGAACCCAATGAGTCCTGAGAAGCCCACCAGTATCTGGACGCAGGAGGCCACCATGATGGCGCCCTGCAACTGAAAAAGAGGGGGCTCAGGCACCTGCAGGGGGGCACTGTGGGCCCAGGCCAACCAGCCCGGCTACAGTTCACACCCACATCTAGTCTCCCCCAGAAGCTGTGCTCAGAGGCAAAGCTGAACCCCTGCAGACTCTGTAGAGGAGGAAAGCTCTGTGTCATTGCTCCTCAGTCTGCATTTCCACCGTCTACGTGGTGTCAGCTGTCTGTTGGACACTTCTACCTGATGTGGAGCTTTACAGGAAGTGGACTTCAAACTGACTTACTGGTCATCAGGACACACACACACACACACACACACACACACACACTCCAGCCTGTAGATGGAACACATGGCTGCTTTATTTTTTTATCTCTTCTCTATTTTCTGTTATAAGAGGTGTTGTTGCTGGGATGTGTCAATGAGTTGGAACCGACTTGGTTTTCAGAGCCAGTCCATCACACGGGAGGAGATTGTCCCGGGGAGCAGAATCCAAGCCTTTGAGAACAGCCCATGAAGTGCAGAAGAACAGATCGTGGAGGAAATGCAGCCTCTTGGAGGTAAAGATGATGAAACTTCATCTCACATATTTCGGCCACTTTATAGGAGAGGCTGTTCCTTGGAGAGGGACATCATGCTTGGAAAGGTGAAGGGTCAGCCAAAGAGATTAAGACCCTCAATGGGATGGACTGATAGTGACTGCAGCAGTGGGCTCATGTGTGTCAGAGATGGTGAGGCCGGCACAGGAGGGGACAGAGTTCAGATCTGTGGTCCGTAGGGTTGCTATCAATCGTACTTGACTTGATGGCACCTAACAACCACAACAACACGAGTTTCTGGAAGCAGGAAGAACTCTGTCTTGGAAGTGGTGTTGCCAGAATACTGCTAAGAGGCAAAGAGCTGTTTCCTCACACTCTTTGGAAATGTCTTCAACAGAGGCAAGTTCTTGAAGAGCATCATGCTTGGCCAAGGCTGCTTTGCAGAAGCAGAATATGAAAAAGAGGAAGATCTCAGTTGGATTTACACAGCGCTGGCTCCAACACAGCCCTGATGGTGAAGAGGCAGCAGGACCAGGAGTGAGGCCTTCTGTTGTGCGCAGAGCTGCTGCGAGTCAGAACTGACCCAACGGCACCCAACATACCACACTGGGTGTCTGAACACAAATGGTTTGAAATCTTTTTTTTTTTTTATAATTATATTTTATTAATTTTCATAAACATTTACAGAGATTTTGGGCTTCCACTCATTCATTGTTGCACTATTCTCTCTACCCTCCTCCCAGTTTGTTCTTGTCCAAATGCCACAGTGCTTGTCAAAGCCAGTTCTGATTAATCTTCTTTGTCAGTGTATCCTTTGCCATTCCCTATCACTCCTCCCTGAGAGAGACTTCACCCTGAGTCATAAGGAAAAGGGGATGGCGTATTCTCGGTTTGAAATCTTGAGACATGGGTGGTTAAACATAATGCAGGGAAGCTGGACCCTCTAACCTCAGATCCCATAAAACTACAGTAATTTGCAAAATAAAAGCAATGGACCAGTAGAGGGCGCCAAAGCACCGCAGACGCCTGGACCTGCAGTTACCGGGTTGGACACACGGGGGCGCGCTGGGGAAGCAAAGTGACTGGCGAGGTCCTTGCCTTGCTGCTGGATTCGAACTACGTCCCTTTGGGTTAACAGCACAGTTTCTAACCACTAGGCCCGTGCCCAGGGCCAGGGCTTTAGGGGAAAGGTTTGCAAACTTGTGAGCAAATATTTTTGGTTTTGTGGAGTCATATGTAGTTCTTATCACAGAGGCTTTCTTTTTAAAAGCAATGCTTTTAATAATGGGCAAGCCATTCTCAGCTGCAGGGCACTAAGCCTCTAATTTGGCCCAATCCCCTTGCTAGTGTTTTACTCATCTTATTTGCATGGTTCCACTCAAATTCTTTCCAACATTAGCAAGCACTCCAGTCTCCTTGATGGACTACAAACTCTAACCTTGGCATCTTCTTACCCAGCGTTGTTGTGGGAATAATACGCACAATGGCTAGAAAAGTCGTGTTGAACAATTCACTATTTTCAGGTCACAATGAACTTCTTGTTTAATGATGTTGCCCCATGTTATATCATCAACAGAGGAATCTCAGTGTGTGTGTGTGTGTGTGTGTGTGTGTGTGTGTCCAACATAATTAGTGTAACTAAATGGAGGAAGACTCAACAACAACCTGCCTTATGCAGATGACACAGTGTTGCTTGCTGAAACTGAGAAGGACCTGAAACGCTTGCTGCAAAAAGTCAAGGACTATAGCCTTCAATATGGACTGAAGCTCAACATCAAGAAGATAAAGATTCCCACCATTCAGCCAGTTGGTAAGCACCATGATAGACGGAGAAGAGATTGAGGTTGTTAAGTTGCTTGGGTTTACAATCAACACTCTTGATACCAGTAGTCAGGAAATAAAAAGATGAATTGCACTGGGGAAAATCTGTAAGGGACCTCTCCAGGATACTGAGGAGCAATGATGTCAATCTAGACACTAAGGTGCGCCTGATTCAGGCCATGGTCTTTCCAATTTCTTGCTGTGCATCAGAGAGCTGGACAATGACTAAGGACAACAGAAAAATCAATGCCTTCGAGTTGTAGTGCTGGAGAAGAGTCTTAAACATACCATGGACTGCCAAGAGAACAAGCAAGTCTGTCTTGGAGAGGGTGAAACCAAGTTTCTCCTTGGAAGCTAGGATTTTGAAGCTCCGTCTCACATACTTTGGGCATGTGGCCAGGAGGAACTGGTTCTTAGAGAAGGACATCATGCTTGGAAGGATGGAAGGACAGCATAGGAGAGGAAGACCCCAGATGAGATGGATTGATACAGTAACTGAGACAATGGGGGTAGGTGTGTTGGAGTCAGTGAGACTGGCTCAGAACAGGGCAGGCTTCAGAGCTGTTGTGCATAGGGTCACTATGGGTCACAGGCACACAACAAGAAGAAAAGTTTTATAACATTTGCCTGAACACAGAGTACGAGGCCAAGAAGCTGAAGGTCAGAGAAAGAACTGTCTGTTAGCATACTGGAGGTGAGCCATCCTGATTGAAGACGTGTACCCTCCCTATTTCCTAACTGAATTGTAACCTACTATTTCCTTACTAAGTTCCACAATCGTGAGAGTCTACGGGTTCCGTGTGACCGCTGTAATGGATTAGTGAATCCAGAAGTGGGGTAGGAGAGGCCTGGGCGGGCTGGTTAGTGTGAGATTTGTGAGGCGTAGGAATGGGGGGTATTTCCGACCTCACTGGAACCAGCTTGTATTGTTGGGGTCTCCCCTCCGCATGAAGCGTGTGGAGGTCACACTGCCTCCCCTGTACCCACTGCGTTGTCCTCCAGGCCCAGCACATTGAGGACTGGACACCATTCAGAAGCTGAGACTGGACTTGGTGAAAATCCACACTCCCCAGCTTGACAAGGGTCTTCGGCTGAAGCTACAGGGAACAGGCCTTTAAAGAGGAAAAAGCTCTGTGAACTCTGGGGTCCACCTCGAGATAAAAAAAAGGAGGTGTGGAGCTTTGACGAAGCCTGAGCAGTCGACTCTGTCAGGATGCACTCTTGGGCCGTATGTCAGAGGGTGGGCCCACTCCAAAGGGCTGGTCTTGAAGGGAAGGAAGCCAGGAGACCTGGCCGCTGGGAGTGCGGGGTTGGGTGGGTCTGGGTGGGCAGGCGGGCTCCCTACTGCCTTGGGTGTTTCAGGCAGACGTGATCTGAGGCAGGAGCTCTCCATTCTCCCGCTGAAAGACAACCAGCCACCCAGCAGCCACCAGGCAGTGGTCAGGATTAGGCCCTGCTGGAGACACCTAGGACTCCAAGATCAGAGACCCAGTCCCGTCTGTATGATGTCAGCATTCCAGTTCAGAAGGGGCCGATCAGCAACACTCGCTGACTAAAGAGAACCAAAATGACGAGAAGAAAAAAAGACAGGAAATGCTGAAGAACATGTGGAGTGATTGGCGACTGGAACTCACTTTCCCTGCCGGCCAGGGTGTAAACAGGAGCTCTCTACAGTGGAAAGCTACAGGGCAGTGTCTCCAAATGCTGCCTGTATGCACAGCCTGTGAGTCCGTAATCCCACTGCTGTTGTTATGTGCCTTGAAGTCAGAACTGACTTACAGCTTTTCAGAGATCTTTCTCCCACGGAGCAGGTGGTAGAGTTGAACCAAGTGCCTTCAGGACGGCAGCACAATGTCTTGCCCCTAGGCCACCAGAGCTTCCTGTTCGACGGCTCAGCAAGCACAGAATTGTCCAGAGCAACGTTTAAGGAACAGCCAGAGAGAACCACCCTTAAACACAGAATTTGGGTACACACAGATGGACAAACTGTATTTCTATAGAGTCGTGCTGCTGTTATTAGGCACCATTTGTAGACTCCAACTCAGAGAAACCCTACATACAACAAACAGATCAAGACCTTGTTCAGATCTGTGCAAACACCACAGTCTCCTCTGTGCTTAACCTCTTGCTGCGGTAACTGCGTGAATCCATCTCGTTAAGCGCCTCCCTCCCTCTCCTCGACCTTCAACCTTTCCAAATGTGAGGTCCCCTCCCTACGACTGGCACCTCTTGATAATATCCCCAAAGTACGTGGGAAGAAGTCTCCTCGTCCTTGCTGTCAAGAGGCACCCTGGCTGCCCCTTCTTCCAAGCCTGATTTCCTTGTTCTCTTGTCACTCCATGGTCTAGTCAATAACCTTCAACAGGGACACAACTCAAAGGCATCAATTCTTCTGAGGGCTTCTTTACTCAGTGTCCAACCTCCATGTACATTGGAAGCAGCTGCAGGTCCCACGGCTTGAGTCAGGCATGTACACTCTTTGAAAAGGCTTGACTGACCACAACACATAGAAGAGAAGAATCTTGCAAACATAATGTTTAAAACAAATAACCAGAGCAAATGAGCATGTGCTGTGTAATTCTATCTGTAAAGTTTAAAAACTGACACGTGCAATCTGTGCTGTTAGCAGCGATGACGGAAGTTACCCTTGTGGGAAGGTGGTTGGAGAATGGGGGCTCCCGGGATCCTCGAAATGTTCCATTTCCACGTCCAGTGGGTAAATTCTGCTTGTTGTTATGTGCTGAGACTCATAGCGACCTTACGCACAATAGCCCTAAACCCTGCTCTATCCTGTGCCAGCCTTACTGTCTCCAACACACCCACCCCTATTACCCCAGTCACTGAATCAATCCACCTCATAGAGGGTCTTCCCCTCCTGCACTGTCCTTCCACCTTCCCAAGCATGCTGTCCCTCTCTAAGGACCCATCCCTCCTTACAACATGTCCAAAGTATGTTAGACGGAGCCTCAGAATCCTTGCTTCCAAGGAGTAGCCTGGTTTAACCCTCTTCAGTATGAACTTGTTTCTGCTTATATTGCATAATTTTCCATAAACTACTATTAAGTTTGTTGCATTTAAATAGAAAGTGTATTTTTAAAGGTTCAAATTCAAACTTGGGAAAGAAGAAAAAGAAACCTAATAAGACTAGAAGCAGCTTAGCAAACACAGAGTAGTATTGTTGTGCATTTGGCCTTGTGGTAAGGAGTTGTGCTGCCAACCCAAAGGCAGGCAGTTCGAACCCACAAGCTGCTGCATGAGAAAAACCCAGGCAGTGTTCTCCTGTGCACTTTACAGCATCCAAAAACCCGCGGAGGCTCAGCTGTGAGTTGGTTCTGACTCGACGGCACACAACAGTCTTGCTCTCCAGCGTAGAGGGTGGGGAGTCGTGCTGCTAAGACAGAGACACCACCTCTCTGGTTGTCTGCACCCACCAGCAGCTCCGAGGCAGAAAGATAGGCAGTCTCCTCCTCGCTGTTTACAGCCTCTGAAAACCTGCTGGAGGGTCAGCTACGAGTTAGTTCTGACTCACTGGCGATACTCTATTCAACTTGAGTCCCTCTCTCTGGTCAGTACGGGCATAAGTGGGGACCCTGAGGTGTGTTTCCCAATTTCACTCTCCTGGTGTCTCACAGACAGGGCACTTGGCATAGTTACAGCAATGAAGCCCTGAGGATGCTGGGTATGGGCCATGGAAGGTTGTGGGCTGGGCCCTGGTGCTCTCGGGCTGGTTAGCTTGGCTCCCAGGGAAATCTAGGGAACCAGTCCAACCTCCATCCACTGTCCTGAGTCCAAGACTGTCCTTGATCTGGTTTCTGTAAGCCTTCCTTGTACTGGGGCCCCTTGTTCTGTGGGGAACCGAGAGCACAGACCTCCTTCTGTATCAGTGAGATAAGCAGGCCCTGGAGCGCGGCCAAATCCCACAACTGCTCCAAGGCCGTCAGTTCCTCCCCCGGTGACCGGCACGTCTGGCAGAGCCAGGCACATGGTAAACCAGCACGGCACACAGCTGTTAATGACCCCTCAGTAGGAGCTGAGCCAGCTTGCTTCTGTGAGTGGATTTTCTTACGAAGTCCAGCCTACGACAGGCTCAGTTCCCAGTCAGTGTGCCTCGAGCATGGCCACACACGCTCATCAGTTTCATGAGGAGGTTTTAGCAGAGCTTGCAGATTAAGATGAACTAGGAGAGACCTGGTGATAAACGTCTGAAAATCCGTGAACTAGAGTCCTGTGAATCAGTCATTCAACAGAAAACCTCTCAGGAGGGTGAGACAGGGCCAGGCAGCATGATGTCCTGTCACACATGAAGTCGCCAGTAGGCGGGAGGGACTGGCTAGCACCATCACTGTGGACATTTGTCAATATAGTGCCTGCGAATTTGTGAAGGTTGAGAGTGCCGGTTCTAAGTGTTTGGTGACTGCTGTTTTCTCTACCACCATCATCACCACTATCACCATAATCATAAATACCACCACTATCACCATGACCATCACCACCATAATCAATACCACCATCACTAACGTCACTAACACCTCCACCATCACCACCATCATCACCACCACCATCATCACCATCACCACCATCATCATCACCACCATCGTCACCATCACCATCATTACCGCAACCCTCACCACCACAACAACCACCATCACTAACACCTCCGCCATCAGCAACACCATAGTCATTACCACTGCAACCACTATCATCACTACCACCACCATCACCATTACCATCATCACTACCACCATTATCACCATGATCATCACCAAAATCACCACCACCACCACCACTGTCATCACTATCACCACCATCGTCACCATCACCACCATCATCATCACCACCACCATCGTCACCATCACCATCATCATCACCACCACCATCGTCACCATCACCACCATCATCATCACCACCACCATCATCACCATCACCACCATTATCATCACCATCATCATCATCACCACTACCACCATCATCATCATAACCATTATCACTATTGTCACCACTTCAATCACTGTCATCACCACCACCATCATCATCACCACCACCATCGTCACCATCACCATCATCATCACCACCACCATCGTCACCATCACCACCACCATCGTCACCATCACCACCATCATCATCACCACCACCATCGTCACCATCACCACCAGCTGTCAGTCACTCTATCCTCTAAGAGCCTGTGGCCATTTCTGACTCATTGCCCTTTGTATTCCTGCCACTGAGCACAGTGTTTGTCCCATGGCAGGAATTCACCAGGTGGTGTCTGATGAATTGATGTGGACACAGAGCTCCCCTTATTGAAACGTGTTTCTATTTACACTCTCCACTCAAGCAGCCATAATCTTTGTTTATACTTTCTGCTTTCAAAAACCTTCCTTTTTGGGTTGTGGAGTGATTTTGTCTCTCCTCACCTGCTCTGCATACACACACACACACACACACACACACACACACACACGAATGTCAGCTCTGAGGGAAGACTTATCAGGTCTACAGAAGTAGCTCAGAGCCCAGGACCTGCCTGGAAGGAGGTGAGCATCTTGCACAAACCGTTAAGCTCAGGGACCCCAGGTAAGCACCCCTCCTCCCTCCCTTCCCCTCTTACCTCTCTAATCCTCTTCTGCCACTCCTCTGTGAACTCAGGTGAGCTGGTGTTCACCAGGCTGGCATTAAATGTCCACTCAGGACACTTCCAGGCAGGAAGTGAGAGCATGGCCAGAGAAGGTGCCACAAATGCAAACGTCCCTCCCTGGAGAATGGGCAGCCTGGAGGAGGAAGAGGCAGTCATGCTCACGGTCACCTAAGGGAGCGCCCGATCTCAAGTCCTAGCTCAGCTTAGAGATAACACAGGTGCCTGTGGTTCCCTGAGCACCCAGTGCTCCTATAAACGGAATCAGATCTAAGAACTTTAAACACAGATCAAGAAGGAGAGGTGGGAGGGGAGACCTGCAGGCCCCCATCCGTCCTCGGGAGAGAGCTGGGTGCTGGGTTCCAACTGAGAAATAGAACCAAGCTCAGCAAGTATGCTGGGTGGGTCCACCAGGCCTGTGATTGGCGCCCAGCTCACACACAGCCATGTCCCACTGTGTGCCCTTTGGACGACCCCCTCCACAAAGAGTTCCACCACTCAAGACCCAGCTGGGTCTCCAAAAGTGACCACAGCCCAGAGCTCTGGTGGCCTAGTGACAAGAAGCTGCGCTGCAATCCTGAAGGCACTTGGTTCAAATCCACCATGATGCTCTGCTGGAGAAGGAGGGGCAATCTCCTCCTGTACCAGTCGGATCTGATTCAACAGTACACACATTCATATAAAATAATTTTTAAAAAGTTAAAAAAAAAGTGCTCACAGCCCAAGACCTCTGCTCTTGGCTGTTGCTTCTCTGTTGATCTTTCTCCTCTGGAGAACCTAACTTAATTCTGAGTGAACACAGAATTAGGAATATCTGAGCTTCACAAAACAAGTTAAAATAAATTCTTAAATGTTAGACACAGAATTATGTTAAACATAGAATTGCCCTATGATATAGCAGTTCCACAAAATTCACCCAAATTCCAGAAATTCACCCAAGTGGACTGAAAGTAGGAACTCAGACACTTTTAAATCTGTTTTCATCAGAGAACTATACATAATAGTAAAAAGTGAAACAACTCTGAGACCAGAAGGTTTAGATGGTGCCCAACAACCACTGCTGGCAACTCTAAAAGGAATAAGAGCAGAAGATCCTGGATAGAGATGGCACAATAGTGGGATAAAATTCAGAATCATGAACAGGTCAGCCTTACTGATCTGACAGAGCCTGGGGGGATCCTGGAGACTATGACCCTTAGCCACTCTACAAACCTGGAACAGAACTCGCCCCTGTGACAAATAGGACAGACCTATAAGGTATCCAGTAACACCAGGGAGACCCTCACTCTTTGTTATAAACAACCGTCCAAGGTCCAAAGAGCAGTATGTGCCCAGGGATAAAGACCAGAAGGCAGGAAGGAGTCATACAGAAGAATTCGTGGAAATGAGAATAACAGAGAGGAAGAAGGAACAGTGGACAGTATAATTAATGTTATAAAACAAAATATGTGTGAAAAACAATTGACTTGTAAATTTTCACTCAAATTACAATAAAAAGAAATATAACAATAAAAGTGATAAAAATTGAAGAAAAAAAAAAGATGAAAACAACACAAGTGCCCCTCAGAGACGAATGGACACACAGACTGCAGTCCGCGTATACAATGGACAGTTATGGAGTCATGAAAGGGAATGGCGTTACACTATCCCGCCATGTACATGAGCCATGAAAACATCATGTTGAGTGGAAGGGAGACACTGAAGAACAAGCGTTGTATGAGTCCACTTAGAAGAAATAAAGAAGGTTATCAGGTGCCTAAAGGGCTGGCAGGAGGGGGAGTGGGAGCATCAGATCACAGGGTTTCTGTCTGCCATGATGGAAACCTTCAGAAGGTGGGTATCAGTGATACTTAAAAAGCTTTGTGAAGAAATCTATTTCCACTGACCTGTTGACTCACAGACCTAAGAGCTTCGCTTGCCTAGAGCTAACAAGGTGTGCTGTCAGCCCAAAGGCACACAGATAGACTCTACCAGCTGCTCTGAAGAGAAAGGTCGCTATCTCCTCTTAGGCAACTTACAGCCTCTAAAAACCTACTGGAGGGTCAGCTATGAGTCAGTCCCAACTTGATGGCAATGAGTTTTGAAGCTTTGGTAATCTAGTGGATAGAGAATTGTACTGCCATCTTAAAGGTGAGCCGTTCAAATCTACCAGTGTCTTCACAGTCAGAAGATTGGTGATCTCCTCCATGTAATTTACAGCCTCTGGAAACCCACTGGAGGGATTCAAACAACTCACGCACACAGCACAATTCCCTACCTACTAGGCTATCAGAGTTTTCAGGTTCCTGATAGAGTGAGAGGAAAATGTGGACCAAAACTCAAATTTAAAAAAAATAATAACAATTTTATTGTTCTAATAAAGACTGATACAACCCCCAAGAAAATTTAAGACCTTCAACTCTTATAAAAAAGGAGACTGACACGGGGGTTGAGGGAAGACTGAGAAAGGGGATAAATAATGCATACTGCATTGAAACAGATGAAAGAGAGAACTGTTTAAAAGGGATATATGATTAGGTATTATTGTGATGACAGGAGTCCAGAATGAAGGCTACAGAGTGGAGTGGACTTTAGGCGAGGGATTGAATAACAATGAAAGAATTTTTTCTTTTACTTTTCAAAAAGAAATGCTAATTGGGGAGAGGGGTGGGCAGGGAGAAAGTGCAACAATGAATGAATGAAAATACAAAGTCTCCATAAACTTTCATTAAAATAAATTTAAAATTTAAAAAAAGAGACAATTTAAGGTCTTCAATTATCCTACAAGCCCAGAGCTGAAATCGCCCCTATTACTCAACTTTCCACCAAACCATACACCGGCTATAGGGAGCTCTCCTTGGCAAAGTCCTCAGAAAGCTTCACTGTTTACCCAAAGATCATGCCTCTCTGACAGTTCAAATCCACCAGTGGCTGTCTGGGAGAAAGCTAGGCAATCTCCTCTCATGTAATTTATAGCCTCAGAGACTCGAAGGAGGATCAGCTATGTCCAGTTCCCAGCTGACAGCAGCGAGAGTGGATAAGGTGATAAATAACACCAAGGAAGAACATCTTCCTTGGAATAATGGGCCATACAGGATCAAAAGGGTAACCTTTGCACAGGGATAAAGTCAAAAGGCAGGAAGGGCCAGGAAAGAACAAATGGAACCCAGAGACACAAGGTAGAAATGGGAAGGGTTATGAGGTGGGAATTGCCATCAACATCACAAAGCATGATTTGCATGAATTGCTGTGGAAAACCAATCTGCTCTGAAATTTTAACTTAAAATAGAAGCTAATTTTTTAAAAGTTATTAAGATAGACTTTCTGCAATATCTAAAACGGTCCTGAAAAGGGAAGATGGAAAGATTTATGTGCTTTAGACATATTAGGAGGAGGGACCAGCCCTTGGAGAAGGACTTCTTGCTTGGTAAAGCAGAGCATCGTTGAAAAAGAGGAAGTCTGAGCACAACAAAGGACTCAAACACCAATCACTGTGAGGCTGCCGCTGGACCGGGCAGTGTTTTGTTCTGTTGTACATAGAGCTGGAATTAACTCAATGGCTTCTAACAACAAGCGTTTTTGTTGTTAAGTGCCGTTGAGTTGAGCACGACTCATGGTGAACCAATGAACAAAAGACCTTAACCCTGTTCTATAACCATTGTCATTTCTCTAAGTTCATAGAGTTTCCAGAGGCATGTTATTTAGGAAGTGGATATCACTCCTGCTTCCAAGCCTGTCTCAGTCTGGGATCTCCACCAAACACTGTCAACTAAATGTAACCATTATGGCATCTGACACACTAATGTCACAACATTCAGTATCACAGCAATCTCAAATCACCTCAGTACAGCAAGCTGCACCACTTAGGAGAATGTTCATTTCAAACACAATTAATACCAGGCCCAAGGGCACAACTGAATTTTTTTAACAGGAGAAGCAAGATCTACTCAATGTGACATGTCTTTCGGCATCAGAAGTCTATCTATCTTACAGCTGAAATCAAATAGTTTTCGTGAAATATTTGCCTTGACTCATAAGAAGGGTATAATACGCTCCCTAGTTCTCCAGCGTCCCCTGTGTTACCATTTCCCAGGAAGTGACTCTGATTCTGGGAATAAAGTCAGCAAAGGGCAGTAAAGTGGAGTAAAGGTGGAGGATGATGGCACCAGGACCTTGCTTTCAACTAGGTCACTGTGAGAAGCGGACTCGGGGTTACTGAGTGGGCTTGGCTGATTCTTCTTAAACTCATACGGGTCATTGTTGCCTTTGAATTATGATGTTGGTGAATAATGTTGACTAAACCATGGATTTTCAGAAGAATAAACAGATCTCTCTTGGAAGACGTACAGCCGGAATGTTCTTCAGAAGCAAGGATGTCAAGACTTTGCCTCGTGTACTTTGGACACGTTATCAGGAGGGGCCTTGCCTGGAGAAGGAGGACATGCTTGGTAAAGTCTAGGGTCATAAAATACCGAGGAAAATCCTCAACGAGTGGACTGATACAATGGCTTCGATAACAGAAGACAGCAGACGGGGCAGTGAGTCTGAGGCTGATGCAGGACTGGGAAACACTTCATTCTGTGTGTGCGGTCGAGTTAAGACCAACTTGGTGGCAACTAAGAACAGCAGCACTATGTGGTAAAGAATCCTGAGACCGCAAGAGTCCTAGTTAATCATCTATTGGACAAAGTCTTTGTTCATCTTTCTGCTGAGCTCCTGACATCACGCAGGTAAATCCTGGGAAAGCTAGTCACAGCCTCCCTCACAGATAATGGCTACTGTTAGTTGCCATAGTCTATTCCAACTTGTGGCAACTCCATGTGATACAGATTAGAACTGTGCCCTGCAGGGTTTTCTTGGCTGTAATCTTAATAGAACTAGACTGTCAGTGACTTTCTTTCACCTGTCCCTCAGGGTAGGTTTAAATCGCCAACCTTTGGGTTATCAGTCGGAACCATTTGCACCACTTAGAGAAACTCTGCAATAACTACTCCACTGAAACTCAGAGGAAGAGAAAGCTCCAGCTGCCGCTTGGACTCCCACTCTCCTCCCTATCCTGACGTGGCTGGTCACTGGCTCAGTCCTCAGGGTCCCCACCATCTCTCCTCCAGCAGAGCTCCAACAGAATAGCTGAGGCCTTTGCTGAGAACAGGGACA